GCGTCTACTTCCCCAGCACTCTCCCAAGACATTCCCGGCCGCCACAACCTCCCTCCATCCACGACTCGTCCACTACTCAAACCCCCTCCCCATCACCATCCTATCCCTGTCTGACTCAACCCCTAACGTTTCTCTTACCACCCACTCTCAACCCCCCCCCACCCACTCTCAACCCCCCACTCTCAACCCCCCCCCACCCACTCTCAACCCCCCACTCTCAACCCCCCACCCACTCTCAACCCTCCCAACCACTCTCAACCCCCCCACCCACTCTCAACCCCTCACCCACTCGCAATCTCCCACGGACACATTCCCTGTGGATGCGCTCCCTCCATCCTTTTTCTGCCTCCGAGCCACCCACACACCTCCGACCCACCCACACCTCCGACCCACCCACATACCTCCGACCCACCCACATACCTCCGACCCACCCACACACCTCCGATCCACCCACACACCTCCGATCCACCCACACACCACCGACCCACCCACACACCTCCAAGCCACCCACACACCTCCGACCCACCCACACACCTCCGACCCACCCACACACCTCCGATCCACCCACACACCTCCGATCCACCCACACACCTCCGATCCACCCACACACCTCCGACCCATCCATACCTCTGACCGACCCACACCACCGACCCACCCACACACCTCCAAGCCACCCAGGATCTGCCACGTGGGTGATTGTCCCGGCTTGTTTTCATCGAGACTGCATCCGGACTCACGCGCCGGCTGACTCATCGCCCTGAGGCGCGAGATGCCAGCGGGAGATGGCTCGCTCCACCGCGGCAATTGGAAGCAGTGTTCACGGCGGATTTCAAGGCGACTCCTACACTCGCCCCCTCTTGAACATTTCCCTCGTACGATGGGGAAATCTGCACCGTAGGCAAACTCGTGCACGCCGTTGTTTGTTCACATTCGTCCCGGTGATTTCGGTGCGCATTTGGCGCAAGTGGCGATTCCTCCGCCCCCCTCCCCCAAATTGTCAAACAATAACATCAATTATAATAAAATAAAATATGATTTTATTGTTTCCCTTCAACGTGACTTTACCGAAAGAACCAAGATGCAACAAGTGCTTTTCATTTTGACTTAAAGCTTTCGTGACTGCAGGAATTCAGATTCTTTGGGTCTTTCGGTAAAGCCACGTAGATAGAAAAATGTTTTAAAAATAGCACGACGTTTCGATCGCAACGTCATCAGGTGATTTTTTAAATAATTAAAATATTTTTTCACCTGATGACGATGTTGCGACCGAAACGTGATTTAATTTTTTTATCTAAGTGGGTTTACCGAAAGACCCAAAGAACACTTATTGAATGTTTGCGCCAAATACTATTTGGAACTCTGGAGTTTAACGCACAATGTTGTAAAATGTGTACGCTGCTGAGATGTTCAACGTCCTCTGCCGATACATGAAAAGGCAATAACGACAGAGGCCCAGCTATATCCGACCATGCACAAACATGGAACGTTGTGCCAACGTTGTGCCAACGTTGGCCTAACGGTACCAACCACATGCCAAAGTTGGCTTGTTCACTGAATAAGTGCATGCACACACTGCTGTGCACGTATACAACAAGCCAACCGAAGGACTTTGCACGAGGTTCAAATAATAATATAATCGGATGGCTTTGTTTCACAGTGCAGACCTCATGTGTTTTCTGAGCCCGTGATTTCCTGCCAGTTGTGTTTTTGGCGACTACTGGCAGAGTGCCATGCGTTCCTGGGCAATGAGATCACTCGACTCTGCGCTCTAGGTGTTGTTACACACGCGTTTCCCGAACGTGTCGTGTGTGTGTGTTACCACTGTGGCGAAACTCGAGTACTTTCCAGGCTCCGTTGACATCGTTATCAGTCACATTCCCAGCCCCACCACGTGCTCGACCCCCACGGCTGCGTTCAATAACAAAGCGTGTGGGACGATTCGCGCTCGCTTAGCCCGAAACCTGAGTCGGGTTTAAAAAAAAAAAAAACACTCTGTGGGGTGATCGGCAGTCACGCGCTAATAACGTCTGTTTTGTTTTATTGTACGGAGCTACACAGTAAGTGAACTCTTTTGTGGAAATGATGAAATTTCTAAACGCTAACCGGCAACATTCGTGCCGTTCCTCCTGCCTTGCATCGCATTATGTTGCTGCTGTAAATCTCGATGTAATCGCGACGATAGTGTTTTTACGTTGTCGCGACAGCTGTGACATGATGCCTATCAAAGTGACGGTGAAACATTTCAATGGAACTTATTCCGCCAAATGCAGAGAGGAGTCAGACCTCCTTAGAAGCACAAGCAGCCCCAGTCACGAGGCCCAACTGCCCCTTGATATTTTATTCAATTAACCTGTCTGTGATGAAACTGAATTTGACTTTATCTTCATTACGCAAACCCGATGTACAGTTGTCTTTGTCTTACTGCTGGTTGGTCAACATTTTGCTCAGTTTATTGATGGTCACTTAAGACAAGATGCCCACAATAAAGAACTGGTGGTTTTGCATAATGTATACCAAGGCCGAGAGGGGGTTTTTTTTGTACACAGGGCACGTGTCTGTGCGTTGTTGAACTCGCAGTAGAATTCCCGAGCATGTGCCTCTTCATGCTTATAAGAATATTTTACCTTTTCTGGCAATAAAACAGTTGTGTTAAGATGTCAATACGCCAAACAGAAACCTTTAGCAAGGAATCATGTCTGAATTAACCACACGTACTTGTGCTGAACAATGCAAACAAAAAACATGCTCTAGTAAGGTAATGATTGGTCCACACGAGAGGACAGCTTTCTTTTAAAGCCTCGTCTCAAACAGTGCTAGACCAGAGAACGCCACCAGGCGAACGGCACAAAGACAATTAACTATCAGGGCATGGATATAGCTCGGGGTGAAAGGGTAACACCAATTCTGATATTTTGATATACTGGCAAGAAAGGTACCATGATGTAGCTGTTCATGCTTCTTTGCGGTCTTTTCAGCCAGTTACATTTTCTTTGTTCCTGCCCATAACGATGATCCACGTCAGAGCTGGCAGCATGGAGTGATTTAAAACGTTCTTCTGCAGACAATACTGCGGCTTCTTTTCATTGACATGTTCAAAATTGCAAAGCTGCTTAATTTTACTCGAGTTCTCTTTGCGTTCTCATTTTGATTTCAATCCACCTTCAATAGCTGCCCCGGATACACGTCACGATTTGCAATGGGTCCTGCCAACGTTCGTTATTTTTTTTAGCAAATATGTTGTGCATTTCTTTTGTTTTGCTCACATTTATATTAAGCTCTACCTTGCAGCCTTCTTTGTCAAGTCCGACAATAATTTATCTGAACTCATTCTCACTCCGTCTTTAAAAAAAAGAAAGCTGCCATCAGCATATCCGGGATTGCCAAAGCGCCAATTAATGTTTCTGTATTTATTTCTCGAAGCTAATTTCAAAAGATATGTTCTGCTGTAAACAGCCTTGGTGGGAGTGCATCTCCTTACCTGATGCTCTGTGATTTGTATTTTACCTGTTTTCGTGTAATATGGTCAATAAAATCACCTACAATATACTGTCACTTTATTTTAATACATTTTTGCATTCAAATTTTAAAAGGTCCGCTTCAAAGCGTAACAATTCTACGAAGCCATTCGTTTAACATTTTGGTGTTTTTTCCCCTCATAGCATTGCCTCATTGGCCATAACTTTGCGTATGCTCCCTGAGGTCTTAATACTTGTCCCCGAGTTATCATGTGAAATATTACACTTGTCAATGCCACCTCAAGCAAGGTGAATATGAAATGTAAAATTTAATATTTTTACAGCCCCCTTTCAACCTACTGCTGGATGACGACAAGTCTTGCTTGCTTTCAGCCGGTTTTCCAGAAGCGTTTTTGGCAGGAACGTTGGAGTCTTGAACGGGGTTTGCATTTGCGTGGACTCAAGAAGCTATATTCAGCACCGGGCTGTTGTGGAATGATCAAACGGTGTCTCGCATGGATGAGGTGGCTACAGAGAAGCAATGGAACACGCTGAGAGCAGCGTTGACATCATCAGCCATGATCAATCACTGCAAGAATGAAGGCCTCCTCAAGCCAGCACCATATCCTCATAGTCCACTGGTTTATTACAAAGAATGAGTCTGCAAACATTTAAAACTGTAACCAGGGGAACGCTACTAAAAAAATAAAATGATTTAGCAAAAATGTAAAACCTTCCGAGTGTTCCGAAATGCCATTTTTTTTTAAAGTTCTAAATTCCAGCGCAGTGCAACCTCAAGGTGTAAAAACAACGCAAGGAGGACGTGGCCACTCGAGTGTTGACGGAGCGAGTTTAGAGCGGGTTGACGTGTCGCTAGAATCCCTTAGTTGCTGTGTGCGTGACAAAGGTGGCCGAAACCTGTTACGGAGTGAACCAAGCGCTGCTGAAATTAGGCACTCCTCAGAAAGCTGTGCGCCCGATGGGATGTGTAAAAGAAAAAAACCTGCATTATTACCTGTGACCTATATACTCCCTCAGATGAAGGCTTGCACATTTTTATGTTATGACCAAAGCAAAGGAGTTTTTGCAAAGTATTTAATTAGATGGCCCTCATGCCATATTCCTGCAGGATGACAAAACTTAATTCTGCATCGGATCATGTTCTTGACTTGACAACTAACCCTGGTAAATGGTACCATTTTTTTACGGCAGCAGATTATTAAACATATCAGGGACCGGGCATGGCCGATGCGGTCACCCGCTGCACGAATGGCCCATCCAAGATTCGGAGGCCTCCGAGTGCGGCCACGAATTCCAAACGATCGACCGCATCGTAACCAGCTGCTGCCCTTCACTCCTTTAAAGGAGGAACGGACGAGATCCACTCTGCGTCTGAACAGACAAATTGAGTGGCCAACAAATAAAAAAATTACATCTTTAATCTGCTGCTATGAATCCACAGGAAAGAAGATCAAGCGTGCGTCCATTCGTTGCGCATTTTAATATCAGCGTTTCAACACGAAAAAATGGACTCCACAATGGTTGTTCAAAACTGCTTCAATTTTTATTGAGAGTTGAGTTCACTGCAACTGCCATGTCTGATATGAAGAGACGTGATAAATCAAATCTATGTATGGGGGTCCGAGCACAGTGCAACCTGGTTGTTGAATGCGAACTGACATGGGCCCGTTAACAGGACTGGCATGTGTACATTGCTCACACTCTCAGCAGCAGCAGCAGGAGACTTGGGAATGATAGATAAATAAAAAAATGATTATTAGAGGTAAATCAACAGCAAGAAAGAATTAAACTAAAAACATCACGGATCCATAAAAAAGCCGACAAATGAAGTCGCATCTGGGCAATAAGCGATGAGTGATGAGAGAACCACAACCCTTCTTGCACACACGGAGCCAAAGTGTACAAAAAAACAGCCCAGACAACTTCACCGTCAAAATAACGAACTACAAGAATATGGATTAGCTATGCAGAAAAAGAGGCAATTTTTTTTTCAAAAGAAAAACACGTTTTTTTAATAAACCAACCTTTGTTAATTCCAACAAGTTTTGTGTTGAAATAAATGTCTAGGACTAGCAGTAGTTATGTTTGATAAAAATTGTCAATTTACTTGAAAAGAAAAAACATGAAAGTGTGGAAATGAACACCTGTCGGGTCCATTTCCACAATTCAATGTTCATGACGTCCGGAAGTGATAAAACAAAAACTCTACTCCAATGACCTCTCCACTCCTGCCCCACGTCAGAGATTTTTTTTTGTCCTGCGTTGCCATAAATTAAAAAAACATTGTCCCCCCCCCCCTCTTATCAGCTGTCGAATCAAATCTGTATATTAAAAAGACTAAATTTTATATACCGATATAACCAGGTGTATTACCCACTACAACTGCAATTAAGATCTATTCAACCGGACATGAGTTGTTTTTTTACCACGACAGCAATGCACACCGCACAAATCTGAAGAGGTAGATCCAGCATAAAGATGAGCTCTTTTGTAAAGGGGGGACGTGGGAAAAGTTTCCCCATATTTGGATGCACCTTTTAGATCCCCTCTTCGGAATTCTCGGCAATTGCGGCGCCTTGTACACGGGGAGAAGGGACAAGGGGCCGCTGTACCGCGCGCAGACGAAGGCCGCTCCACTTTCCGCGCGCGGACGACGCACAAGGATTGGGCTCTGTGTGTGCAACCAAGGGGGATGTTTGGGGTGGGAGCGCGCGAGGAATTTTTTTTGTTTTGTTTTATGCACACCGTTATTGTTTTTTCAAGGGAATAACCCTTTTTCTCAACGTTCTGCGATCCCATAAAATCGAATTAAGATCGGGTGAATGCACCGCCAATATTTTGACGCTTCCATTCCGTCCGGCGCTGTTGTCACCGCCGCCGCCGCCGTTCAGCCCTTTTTGATGCCTCGACGATTTCGTCCACACCGTCGGTGAACGACTTGAGTGAAGGCCGTGATTCAAAGTCGGTTCAGTTGCAACCGAAATGTGCGAAACGCTTTCGTAGGGCGGGTAGTGTTACCGGAAACCCTGAGCACGATTTGATGCTCAAGTTTTTTTTCTTTCTGCACCGTCGTTCACACGCGGACCCGTTCAAGTTTCACCTACTCATTTTTTTCTCCGAACACTGAGAAACTCGTGTCGAGTCTAAGAATAACGCGGCACCGTTGGAAGCAAACAAAAAAAACCTGATATACTTTTGACTGCCTGTAGGTAACAGTATGGCGACAACAAGTAGCATAACTCTACTCTTGAGTGACGCAGAGTTAACGGCTTCCAAAGGAGACGGAAATCGGGTTACAATCGATGCACATTTCTAGCCGCCCTAAACCCGACCTGCTGTGCGCTTTTCACAAACGTAGAACTTTCGCAGTGGCCGGGAAAATAAGTGTCGCGATTGTGCGCAACATTAACGTCGACATCTGGGGAGCGGGTGTAAAGCGACAGATCCGCACCTGTAACTGGGCGCAGGAGTCAAGTGCTGGGTTATCTGCTGCCCAAGGAATGCGCAACGTGGCCAACGTAGAAGGCGGGACGGACGAGCTCTCGGTCAGATCTGCGCGGAAGGTTTCTCGCTGCCCACCACCAAGGCCCTAATGTGTCCCCCCCCCCCCCTGTCATGTTGCGTGGCTGGAGGCCCCCCCCCCCATCCACTCCCCCCAAGGCACGTGCTGGCATTAAGTCCTGCGGTGACGTACGCTATGCAAGCAGGCATAGGTGTGCACTTGTATTCTGCTGGCATAGACACGCGTAAAGAAGTACATTCCAACGGATAGTCATGAAACTACCTCGAGAAACAAATTCATATGCATATTGAACGAGAAAAAAACATGTAGGTTAACCTTGAACGATCCTCACATATGCCTTAAAAAGCAAAAAGAGGCTAAATAGATTACAATAATATAGCAAAGTTAATTGCTACTTTTTTTTCTCTATCACACGTCAAGAGGTTTTTGCTGCCCTGGGATAGAACCGTGCAATGTGTGTTCAACTGTAGATTTGTATTGCTGTTGTGTGGTCTTAATGGGGGTACATTCATTATCTGCCTTTGGCGGTTTGATCAGAGATAAACCAGATTTTCCTTGAGATCGTGGCAGTGGTGAGATGTGGGGTTGGTGGACCAGGCAGATATGGATGCCACGGTGGCGATATGTTTAGTATATTTTTCTCCGGGTCTTCCGGTTTTTCCCCTCCACATTTATAAACGTGAATTTAGAGTATTTGGCTGCTATACATTTCCACGTGATGAGCCAACTGAGTTGAGCTATCATTTGTGGCCAGATCGCGTCTGAAAAACAGCTATACATAGCTCAGTGGGCCTTACTTGGTAAAATAAAAAAAATAGTTGAATTGTTTTAATAGATATGCAGCAATAACAGCGACTATGCGATGTGCTGTGACAGGGCAAGGCTGAGGCACGAACATTCGAACTGGACACGTCCAATTGTGGATCCTAAAATACGGAGCCACTAATTTATTGGAGAGTAAATTGTTTTACTGAAATTCATTTACCAAAGGCTGTTCCCAGCGACGGATGGATTGCATTTTTTTATGGTTACCAATTTTCCAGAACAGTGAAATCAAGATGCAAATTTTCACCATCATTATCCATAAAATGTGCATAAAATTCCACCTGCAGATTGGTCCAAGCCATCCAGATTTCCCAGCATGCATAGCAGTTGCCGTGACCAAGGCTGCGTGGCATGACGCGCTGTGCAGCTCATCATCATCATCATCATCGCTGGAATATCAAACATCTTCACTCCCACCAATCTGTGTTCCCTTAAAGGTGATCCGTCAAAAAAACGGTATCCCCATAGCATGCTGAGGGCTTCGTCACAAATTATAGTTCATCCGCTCGTGTCGAAGCGACATTGCCACAAAACCATGATTCACAATAACAACACATTTTCTCTCCACGTCAGATGAGACACTTGGTTTTCTGCTGCAGTTTATACCTGAGGTCATGCAGCAATGTATTTTGCTTAAAGAGAAAACATGCACGTGTAAAATCCACAAATCCTGATTACATTGTGAAATTGATTCAGATACATCTGTAAAAGCAGCACGACAATTAGCCTGTTAAAAGTGAGGGTATTTCTGACAGCTTTAAGGGAACACAGGCGCCATAACGTCAGAGACTGGGAAATATTATTCTCAGATCAGGGTGGCATCTTGCGGAAAGAGAAAGGATGTCCCTGTCGATGACCATCAACTCCCAAATGTAAACACTGCGATTACAATGGGACATTTACGTGTGACAGGGTGCCACCCTGTAAAGCGAGAGATGTAATTGGACGATCCCCATACACAATCGCAGATATACATCGGGTCTCCGAGTTCCACGCAGGGAGAATTTAGTCTGCAGAGTAAGCGCGACTCGTGCAGAAGAAGAAGAAGAAGAAAAAAAAACTCCTCGAGATTCGTCTTTCCGTCACATGGGTTTTGCACTCTCACATCGGGGGCCAGAGAAAAGGTAGACCTCTCCTTGATTAGCGGAGCACGAAGCTTTAAAAACGAAACAAACGCACGCACACACGCAAGCCAGCAACGCAGGCTCCCGCCGCTGAGAAGACCTCCGAACTGACTGCAGGAAAAACAGGCGAACAAACGGAAGATCCTGTGTCCTACTTATCGGCCTAGCAGCAGTGTCCGACGTTCGTATTCATAGCCGCCTGATACACACATCAAACAACTTCTTACATTGTGATACCTTTTTTTTACTTTTGTCACCGCTGTTGTAAAAAGGTCATTTTTTTTTATTATTACGTTTTGACATAACTGGCATTGCTCTTTGGATGGCGTGTACATAGGCATGGTGTGTAGTCTTCATTATCATCGTTGCGAAACGTGTGGTGGTGTCATTACCTCAGTAGAAATGAGGCTCGAAATTTCTGAAGCGTCACTTAAACTTTTTTTTTTTTATCACAAACGCTCAGCTGTCGGTTTCGGGAGTGGGAAAATGTACATCTCGGCAAGCAAAAAAAAAACAAACGGTATTTCAATCTCCCAAACCGACGGCCCCACACACATTTTACCCTTTTTTTATTAAAAAAATAAAATGCTCAAGGCTTTCAATTTATAAAGCATACAAAACATCCCAAAGGAACAAAGGAACTCTGAGGTACTTAACGCCTGAGGTAGTTCTGTTTAAAAAAAAAGCACGTGTCTGTGCCTTGGCCAGCACATTCATTGCTCCTCAGTTTGGGCTCCCTTGCAGTGTCCCACTGCGTCTTATAAAAATAGTAAAGACCTAATAAAATGATTCCCATTGCCTAAGCAAGGACTTATGCCGTTGGTTTTAAATAGCCGGTTGTAAACACTAAGCAATGCCTGTTCAAAAAAAAAAAGCCAAATTTTTTTTTAACAAAAAAATTCTAAATGGTGGGGGGGGGGAAAGCGAAAAACAATACTTTGGTTACAGGGAAAGGGGAGGAAACAGGACCAGGCGAGATATACAATCCCCCATAAAAGGCAGGTGATAAAACAAAGTCCACATTTCATCGTCGTTGGTTTAAGACAATTGGTGGGAAGCAAAAACATTTTTTTGTTAATTGACGTTACAATACAAAACAACTGAAAACTTTGTACGGATTTCTGCCTTTAACACTGGTGCTTAGCAGTTCCTCCCTGCTTGGGTGCCTAGCCCTCTCCCCCCATCCCTGTGGTGTCTGCTGGTGGACTGGCCAGGAGGTCGAGCGTGGTGGGGTGGTGCTACTTCTGCCGGGACTGTCCTGGAAGGTCGGACGCGGGTGGCTGACGCTGCTGTTGCTGCCGAAACTGCTGCAGGATCTCACGGATCTTCCTCTGCGCCGTCTTCAGGAGAAACGAGAGCGGGTCGGGGAATGGAAGGACTCTTTGGTTACAGCAAGGGTCGACGGAAGCGATGCGCCGATTACGGGTACACGGAGCAGACGTTTGGGGAATGGTCATGGAGGAATGAAATCGCGTGCCTGGAAGCACACAGGCTGTGTGGCGGTTGCTACTGGTAAGGTAATATAAAGGGGGAAGTGAAGCATGTGGATCGAATTTGTGTGGAATTACAAGGAAGACATGGGCATGAATGTAGAGCGCGGGTAGAAGCTCATTAACACTTTTGGCAGAATCAACCTCAAAGCGGATTAAATTATGTAAAAACCTCTCGAGGCAGACAAATTGGGGGAAAAAAAATTCTTCTGGTTATGTGGGATGTCTGACATACTGCAAGTAATTAAATAATTCATTCCTATAAAAAGTTAAATTACATTCACATGTAATTACCGTCTAACATTTAATCAACACGTAAAAATGTATCAAATATTTACAATTTAATAATGCTTAGCAGTTTAACCCCGAGTAACTTACCGTCGCTGTGCAAGAAAACGGTGAAACGCCGCGGTCAGTGAATGTGGAAGTCTGAAGAGGTTTTCTGCCAGGCTTGAAGAACTTTACTGCGCTTTTTTCGTAAAATGTGCAAGAACAAGACAGCCCTGGCGAGAGCACGCGGAGGACCGAGGCGTCGTAGGCCATGGGGTCGCCGAATTCCATGTAACAGGTAAGTATACGGGTTTTAGAAATGCTGCAGTGTTGCTATTTGTCCACATGAATCGTGTTGCAACCAAATCAGAAAATACATTGAGATCTTTGGCCAATTCCTTAGTGATTATTTTACATGTGGGTGGGGGGGTGGGGGGGAATTGTAGTACCTGGAGAAAAACACATTTTATCGAGTAACACAAGGCTCAAAGATCTATAACATTGATCCGCAATCTCTCTTACCATACTGTAGTCATCATCTGGTCACCTCTCAGCCACCTTCACAGCCATCTCACAGCCATCTCACAACCACCTTCACAGCCATCTCACAACCATCTCACAACCACCTTCACAGCCATCTCACAACCACCTTCACAGCCATCTCACAACCACCTTCACAGCCATCTCACAACCATCTCACAACTACCTTCACAGCCACCTTCACAGCCACCTTCACAGCCACCTTCACAGCCATCTCACAACCACCTTCACAGCCACCTTCACAGCCAATTTCACAGCCACCTTCACAGCCACCTTTACAGCCATCTCACAACCACCTTCACAGCCACCTTCACAGCCACCTTCACAGCCATCTCACAGCCATCTCACAACCACCTTCACAGCCACCTTCACAGCCATCTCACAACCACCTTCACAGCCATCTCACAACCACCTTCACCTTCACAGCCACCTTCACAGCCACCTTCACAGCCACCTTCACAGCCACCTTCACAACTACCTTCACAGCCATCTCACAGCCACCTTCACAGCCATCTCACAACCTCCTTCACAGCCATCTTCACAGCCACCTTCACAGCCATCTCACAACCACCTTCACAACCACCTTCACAGCCACCTTCACAGCCATCTCACAACCACCTTCACAGCCATCTCACAACCACCTTCACAGCCATCTTCACAGCCACCTTCACAGCCATCTCACAACCACCTTCACAGCCATCTTCACAGCCACCTTCACAGCCACCTTCACAGCCACCTTCACAGCCACCTTCACAGCCACCTTCACAGCCACCTTCACAGCCATCTCACAACCACCTTCACAGCCACCTTCACAGCCATCTCACAGCCACCTTCACAGCCACCTTCACAGCCACCTTCACAGCCACCTTCACAGCCACCTTCACAGCCATCTTCACAGCCACCTTCACAGCCACCTTCACAGCCACCTTCACAACCACCTTCACAACCACCTTCACAACCACCTTCACAGCCACCTTCACAGCCACCTTCACAGCCACCTTCACAGCCATCTCACAGCCACCTTCACAGCCACCTTCACCTTCACAGCCACCTTCACAGCCATCTCATAGCCATCTTCACAGCTACCTTCACAGCCACCTTCACAGCCACCTTCACAGCCACCTTCACAGCCATCTCACAGCCACCTTCACAGCCACCTTCACAACCACCTTCACAGCCATCTCACAGCCATCTTCACAGCCACTTTCACAACCACCTTCACAGCCATCTCACAACCACCTTTACAGCCATCTCACAACCACGTTCACAACCACCTTCACAGCCACCTTCACAGCCATCTTCACAGCCACCTTCACAGCCATCTCACAGCCACCTTCACAGCCACCTTCACAGCCACCTTCACAGCCACCTTCACAGCCACCTTCACAGCCACCTTCACAGCCACCTTCACAGCCACCTTCACAACCATCGCACAACCACCTTCACAGTCACCTTCACAGCCACCTTCACAACCATCTCACAACCACCTTCACAACCACCTTCACAGCCACCTTCACAACCACCTTCACCTTCACAGCCACCTTCACAACCACCATCTCACAACCACCTTCACAGCCACCTTCACAGCCATCTTCACAGCCACCTTCACAGTCATCTCACAACCACCTTCACAACCACCTTCACAGCCACCTTCACAACCACCTTCACAACCACCTTCACAGCCATCTCACAACCACCTTCACAGCCACCTTCACAGCCATCTCACAGCCACCTTCACAACCACCTTCACAGCCATCTCTCAACCACCTTCACAGCCACCTTCACAACCACCTTCACAGCCATCTCACAACCATCTCACAGCCATCTCACAACCATCTCACAGCCATCTCACAACCACCTTCACAGCCATCTCACAACCACCTTCACAACCACCTTCACAACCACCTTCACAGCCACCTTCACAGCCACCTTCACAGCCACCTCCACAACCACCTTCACAGCCACCTTCACAGCCACCTTCATAACCACCTTCACAGCCATCTCACAACCACCTTCACAGCCATCTCACAGCCATCTCACAACCACCTTCACAACCACCTTCACAGCCACCTTCACAGCCATCTCACAGCCACCTTCATAACCACCTTCACAGCCATCTCACAGCCACCTTCACAGCCATCTCACAACCACCTTCACAGCCACCTTCACAGCCACCTTCACAACCACCTTCACAACCACCTTCACAACCACCTTCACAGCCATCTCACAACCACCTTCACAACCACCTTCACAGCCATCTCACAACCACCTTCACAGCCATCTCACAACCACCTTCACAACCACCTTCTCAGCCACCTTCACAGCCATCTCACAGCCACCTTCACAACCACCTTCACAGCCACCTTCACAGCCACCTTCACAGCCACTTTCACAGCCACTTCACAGCCACCTTCACAGCCACCTCACAGCCACCTTCACAGCCACCTTCACAGCAACCTTCACAGCCACCTTCACAGCCACCTTCACAGCCACCTTCACAGCCATCTCACAACCACCTTCACAGCCATCTCACAGCCACCTTCACAGCCACCTGCGCAGCCACTTTCACAGCCACCTTCACAGCCACCTTCACAGCCACCTTTCACAACCACCTTCACAGCCACCTTCACAGCCACCTTCACAGCCACCTGCGCAGCCACCTTCACAGCCATCTCACAGCCACCTTCACAGCCATCTCACAGCCACCTTCACAGCCACCTTCACAGCCGTGCCGGGGTGGTGGGCTGGCCCCAACACACGCCGTCTGGGCGATCCACCAATGCAACCTCCAGTGCCGGCGGATAAGAGGCGTGCCCCAGCGCGCCAGACTAAGTGCGGCTTAAAAGGCTGAGCAGCGCAAAAGGCACCGCACGGCGGCAGCCGTACCTGGCTGGCGAAGAAATGCCCGATAATTTTGACGACAACTTGGTCGTCATCGTCAGGCGCCTGGTCCCGCGGCACGACGACCTCGGCACTCGTCAGGTTCTGCAGCTCGTTGACCTGGACGGGACGGGCAGAGGGATGACCGATACCGCTTTCACACTTTCTCTATTCTTGCACATGCTGAATTTAATTCGCACCGTACGTGGCCAACCATGCTAATCAAAGGTGTGGGGAAAGACTACAAAACGGGTGAGTTGAGTACTTTGTCACAGCACCACCTGGCTGGATGACATAAAGTCGTCTTATGTGCTGTGTATATGTGCCAGAGGCAGGGGCGGAGCCACAGGGGGGGCTGTGGGGGGGGGGGGGGGCCCCCCCCCCCCCCTGAAATTTTGGGAAAGTCGGTAATCGGGATAACCGGATATATCTGGCTGCTGCAAAATGCTGCAGGCTGCCACCTTGTGCTGCCCTGCAGGCTGCCACCTTGTGCTGCCCTGCAGGCTGCTTGAGCCACATCAGCGGCTCCGACCTATTAATAAACTCCGCGTTCAAATCCAATTAAATGTGTTTTATACATTTGTGGCGCCCATTGGAAAAGATAAACAATGGATATCTCAGAATACTGAAGTCAGCCCCCCCCCCCAAAGTCAAAATCCTGGCTCCGCCCCTGGCCAGAGGTGCCATCACAGTGTTAGTTTATTAGAGGGCATTACATTCGGTTGTTTTTTCTGGACACGGCTAATGATGGCAATATGGTTCAGGAGCTAAATGTCAATGTTGAGTTCTGTTGCTGGCCAAGTCAAGAGGGGCTTCAGGCGAGCGAGTTGGTGCAGTTTTTGCTGTTCCTCCTCTGTTGAAGGAACGCGGACTGCAGTGGTTTACCGTATGGTCCATAGTTGAGGTTGTATGGCCACAGTTGCACTTCTGTGACGTGTCTTTTAATTTTCCATTCATGAAGGAGCTGTGCGCATCAGCGTGTTGATGTTCTGATGCAGTTGTGATGATCACACCAGTTAATTTCCACCGATATCAGAAGAGTCCAATGGGCAGCGAAAGTGGTATAAAAAAACTGGGAACATTCTAAATAAAAATGACCTTGTGTACGCTTAGTGATTATGACAGCAAATCCATGTGTCAACTGGACCAAACACTGTACTTTGAAATTAACTGCATTTAAATATCAGTGTGGTTCAGCCTTAGCAGGTGGTGTGGTGGGCTTGCCATGAGGACAGTTTGAATGGAACAAATGACGACGATTAAAGTCCTAGAGCCTTCTGGAAAAGTTTCAGAGCAAATTTCCCCAAGGACATAGCCACCTAAAAAATGTGTACGAAAGAACATTTACAATGAGAGCTCAATATTCCAAATAAGTCTCCAAGTAAATTGTAGAAATTAACCTTTTCCCGTTAGGAGATCACTGCAAGTTGCAGGGTGGGTGACCCCGTTGACCGCTGAATCTTGGAAAGCGCAAGCGGTTAGCGCAAATTTTATTTAGAGAGGCGTAGCGCTGCTGTTTTTAAAGACATTGTACTCGCCGCAGAGAACTGTAGCGACACGACCGCACTTCTGTGATAGCTGGTGACAAACTGTGCCACACGACCCCTCCCATACGGCCTTATGAGAGTCTCGGTAGCGATAGAGTATTTGTTTTTCCCTTTCTAGTTCCCTTTCGGTGATGCACACATACATCACCGGAGCGGAATCGGAAGAAAATCCGATAACGTACAGGTAACTGTGCTGAGGCAACACTTACACACACACACATTCCCATCCAAAGAGATATCAATTGACTCTCGTGCCTATTAAGATAATTAACAAACGAATTGATAGAAAAATGCAAAACACAGAAAGACAAAATGCCTCAAAACAGTTAACACTATTGTATCATGTGTTCGTACGGACTGCAAGAGTTAATAGAATAACGCCTGGCTTGTTTGCTGTGAGAAAAGGTTGCAAGGACAAAGAGATGCAGGACACACTGCAGAACAACCTTAGCAATGTCATTATAATTTTGATTTTAAACTTTCGTGACTGCAGGGATTCATATTCTATGGTTCTTTCGGTAAAGTCACGTAGACAGAAAAAAATATAACAATAAAATAATACAAATTAAAATAAAGTGAATAAAAAATACAAATATTAACAATAAAATAATAGAAATTTAAATAAAGTGAATAAAAAATATTAACAATAAAATAATAAAAATAAAGTGAATACATTTTTTGAAAAATATTTTTTATCCACTTTGTTTTCATTTTTTATTGTTATAATCTTTTCTATCTACGTGACTTAAACGAAAGAACCATAGAATATGAAAATGTTATTACAGCATGCAAAACTGCTTGTGAGAACAGTCCTGAAATAACAGAACATTACGACTACAAGAATGTGTTCCACGTGTTAAGTGGAAGTGCCTGTCTTCTCAACATCGCATTGTATTATCTTTTCATAAAAGCAGCCAAAGTGATGAAATTCTGAGAAAAAAATCCACACGTGGCTATTGAACCTCAGCCACACTACAGGGCTGGTATATATTGTTATTAGATACTGGCATAAATTTGATATGAATATATGCATTGGATGTATAAGTTTGAGTTTTTCGTGAATATTTATTGGTACTTTCTGTTTTCAGGAGAAACTCCATATTCTGATGTGACAAGTCCACCCAATCACACAACTTCACACCAATTTTTTTTTTTTAAAGTCAAGTCTCAGAGGCTGAATGCTGAATTATATTGATTAGATATTCGAGAATATTCGAGAAAATCGAATCAATGCCATAACAAAAACGTATAAGTCTATCACATGTATACATATACATTTTACGTCAGTATCTCGAATAACCATTATAAAACCATTCAACGTTCTTTTTCGGTGTATTCATTTTTGGACACCCTGTATCTATTCATCTGCGAGTGGTCGGCATGACCAGCGCACGGCCTGTTCAGCAGTTGCAATCGTACCGTTCGCCCTCCCTTGCCGATGACCCTGCCGGCAGCGGCCGATGGGACCTTGATGTGTGCTTCCAGCTTCACTTCTTCCTTGGGGTTGTAGAAATTCTCTTCTTTTAATTTCCCATAAATTCTGCCCTGGGCCTGAAGACGCGCACAGCCAACAACAAGCGCTCAGGTGACACGCCGCCCAGGATGCCGCGAAGAAGCTTGCCATCCTTCGTCACATTTGTTTTGCACAGCGATGTGGAGATTGAAGTTCGACTGTTACTCAGAGATAAGTGGTGTAATTAGCACAAACCGCCGTTTTGAACGTTGGGGTGGGTGTTGGCTTTAGAGCGGTGGATCAAAATGCTATTAACTCTGATCCTGAACCCCACAATCAGTGCCCACACAATGTCCTCACCTAATAACACGGTACCAATTATAAGCAATAACCTTGTGTATAATTATAATCCATGGAGCAAGTGATTGCTATTGTAACGTACGCATTTTTTTCCTACCATGAATGTAATTATCTCTCGAGTTCATGGCATTATGGTGAAAAACACACATTACATATATAAAAAAAACTTAATTATATTTAATAAACAATTTCCTTTTTTTTTTCATAATTTCAATGCCAAAGTAATAGGCATGTCCACGAGGGGATACTCTCACCTTAAACTGTGCTTCAGCAGGGCCAGTAATGGTGACCATTCTCTCCTTGGCGTCAGGTGTTTCAGGAGGTGCAATCTGCGGAGAAGACGGGGCCACACACGGTGCAAGTCGCAACGGTGCAGCCCGGCGCGCATGTTTCGTGACGGAGAAGTGTCCATTGGGCAAGAAACATTAAGGAAAAGAATAAAAAAAACTTTCCTGCGTGCTAGATACCGCCAGAGTACATGGCTCAGCATTAACACCATTCACACGACTGGGCGGTGGCACGGCCCAGCGGCGGAGCGTTTTAGCCACTCGACGCGGAGGTTCGCGGCTCGGGGGGGCTCCAGCGGCCCGTCTGGTTAATACCGCAGTGTGCGTATTAAGCATAAAACACACACGCCGTCTGCTTCACAGCGGACGTTCAAGCGTCCCGTGACGTCATTCGCAATAGTGGGCCGTTGTGTGCCAAATCTCATGGTTCAAGTTTGCCCGATTTATTTTTTAAATGAGACCGCAAAGAACTCGATTGGAATCTGCAGGGCAACCGCCGCTCACCCCGACTGCCAACCCCTGATCAGTGCCTCCCTTATTACAGACAAATTCAGACCTTACTGGTCACCCCGTGCCCTTATACATCTCAACGTTCATCTTACAAGTCCCATCAGAATAAGGGAGAAACACGAAGACAATCACAACTACTACACTCACCACTAGTACACTTACCACTACAGACCTGTTTACCTCTTATCAGTGCCCTAACTTATTAGACAAATTCAGCCTGTGTAGGCTATATGGAAGATCTTTCTCATCTGCCTTACTCTTGCATGTGCCCTCTTATGTAATGTACATAAAATCACCCACATTAAACTTTACTGACTTCTGCTACTTTGTTAAAAGCATGAAGTAAACATGACTGATTAAATAATTTAAACGTTTTATCTGGAGCCTAAAACCAACACAAAACATTTCTAGAACAAACTGTATTTACCGATTTCTTTTACAATTGTTTACAAATAAAAAAAATATTAAAAAGTAATTTCTTTAACGTTTTGCATTGAGCCCATGAATTTATGACAATCTGTTACTTTTTAGGAAATTGTTGACAAATTATTTGGATAAAACAAGATATATTTCACTGGGAAACATCTTATGTCTATCAAAATTACAATCGTGATTACACGGATGTATAAAATCAATCTAGATGCATTGCTGATCCATCATCAATTGCTCAAGATCCTGTGACTAATACTCGTGTAAGTCTGCCAACTGGGTAAATGAAGCTCACTGCTAAAACTGTATTAGAATGAGGCATATGACTAAGAAGCCACATGATTCATCGGAGACACAAAATAAACATATGCTACTCCATGTAAAATGTGCATTTTATACGCATACTTGAAGAGCACATGAATCACAACACAGTTATGTACTTTAATGTTTTCCATGCAACTTTGCTCAGTGTAATTGTCATTTAATGCGGTGTTCAAATAAAACAGGAAGTGGCAAAAATATGAGTCCATTGGGTTGGATGGTTTTTCAAATCAAGTACCTTTTCATGGGAAAATTATATCTCTAAAAATATATCTTATTCTTCCCTTGTGTAGACTATCCTGACTGAAACTATCTTCTAACATTTCTGTAATATACTCAAACTGTTGCCATTAGTCTTTTTTTCTAAGCACAATATCATATCTCTTAATTTCCACCGTCTTAAAGTAAAGTCTACCAATTGAATATGTAACATTACAACTGCATTGTCAAGCTCAAGATGTCATCATGGCCAAAGCCATTTGTCATCATGCCACCACACCTTGCTTTCTACCCTGCGCTAGATACCACAGCTGCTGCATAGTAGGCACGTGACCTCCTAGATCCGCTCTCACGGTCTCCCTCCATCTAGCCCGAGGTATCCCCCCTCCTCCCGTGGTCTCCCGGTGAGGTTACCCATGCAATCTACAAAATAAACTAGTAGACGATGCGTCTCTCTTTCACATATCCGTAGCTCCTCACCAAAAACGATAAGTATTTCTTACACAACCCATTAGCCGCAATCTACAATCATTTAATCCTCGACAATGGAGGTATTCTAGAAACCACCAAGCCATTCACACACACGTGCGCGCGCGCAAATGTACCTTGATGGAGGCTCCTGCAAATCTTGAGATCTGCTTAATGTTCTGGCCCTTTTTGCCAATGATGGCACCGACCGACTGCGTAGGGATGAACAGGAAGACAGTCTCCTGCTCCGTCTGCTGCTCTCACGCACACACACACACACGTGCGTGCATGCAGCACAAACACACGGGGTGGGGGGTGGGAGGTGGGCAGGCGCACAGACAAACATGTACACACGCGCACGACACGGCAGGGCAGCGGGTCGCCTGGAATCCGCGGCGGTGCCTCGCTGTGGACGCAGCCACCAACGTGCACGACGCTTTGGGGGTCGGTGACAAAAACATGCAGAGGGTCGAGCCGTGGTTTCCAGGCAAAGCTTCGAAAGGGGGCAGAGGGAGCGCGCAGAGCTGTGACATCGCCGATTTAATCTGTTAATTGAACGAACGTAGGATGTGACTGCACCGTAAAATCTCCCCAAGCCAGACTGAAGTAAGCTAGAATTCAGTGCAAGCTGCATGAAAATAAACAACTAAACTGAGAAATAAAGAGGATACAAAACTCCGGCAGGAACATCGTTTGCGCATTAATTACGCCGAGTGGTACAAAAATCCGGTGAGCATGGCACTTGGAAGCCACGGTCGTCTGCATTCTCTGTGAATGGTCTCATTATTTCACATTTCTCTTACAAATAACATATATTCGTCAAGCAAGTCAAAATACCTCTGCAGCTGTCCACATGCAATGAATGTTAGCAATTCCAATTCTGATTCATGGTGGTGATAACTAACAGGTTAATTATACAGGAGTAATTTCCGTGTTATTAAAATTGAAAATATTTCACTGTAAATAGTTAATTGTCATCGAGCATTAATTACATGTCTTAAGTTGTAATTACACGTAAATGTTATTAATATGCATGTTGGTTTTTGTTACCATTTCATTATTTGCAGTACACCAGACATTGCTCATAACCAGAAAAGTTGTACCAAATTGGTCTGACTTTGATAGGTTTTACTCTACATTTTCAAGCAATAAGGTTATTTACAATTGCAGAAGCACTCTCTAACGTCGAACCTCCCGGTTTTAACTTTCCACCACGCCAATGGTTGACCATCAGCCGAATCCAGACCGGGCATTGCCGAGGCGGTCAACTGATGCGCACGAATGGGGCATCAAAGATTCGGCGGCCTGCGAGTGCGCGGCCACAAATCCCGAAACCATCGACCGCACCGTAAACAATCCGTCGCTGCTGATGTCTTCACTCCTTTAAAGGAGGAACCGACGAGATCCACTCTGCTTCTGAACAAAGAATTGAGCGGATAACAAAGCTAAAATGGTATCTTTAATCTGCTGTTATTAATCCACACTAAAGAGGCAGAAGAAGCACTCTAAGAAGCAGAAGCATCGCACAGAGGTGAACCTGTGTTAATGTCGGCTCGGCAACATGAGCACACACACACACACAACAACGACGATGAACAAGCACGAAGAGTACTAGAAGCAATTTTCGAAAATACGAATCACGAATTAATATATTGTGCTGCAAGCAGGTTAGGGCAACGCACGGACAGACAAAAGCACATGGGAAGCTGCTACATGGAATATGCAACAGCCAATTCCTGCCCTTATATTAAACAGAAAAAGGGGGTTCAGATAGCAATAGATGATGCTCATTTAAAAAAAAAAATTACCAAGTCTGCAAGAGCTAAGACTTCACATTTCATGGTCTCAAGTAACATATACTTAAATGGCTATCGTATGCTGCAGCTAAAACACAAACACTTTTATGACGGTAATGTGTTGTGTTCCCTTTGGCTCATTACTGAATAAAATAAAATAAATAAAAACTCAAGGCATCCTTTGAGATCTCTGCTCGTTTTTTTACACAAAGCTGTGGCTATAACCTGTGATCTCATATATATTTCTTTTAAATGCCTTCACTAGCTTCTGACTCTTCCACGACTATGTTTGGCAACAGAGTACTTTCCGCTGTATCTGGATAAGAAGAGGAAACGCTGAACAACAGTGAGGAGGAGGAGGAGCCAGGACTGTGAGACTATAACGCTACGGGCAGGGGCTCCCCCTCTAGCTGCACTTACAGCTGCGGGCTGGGCCACTGCCGGTGTGACACCAGACGTGCCGTAGGCACCACCCACAAACGACGGGTGACTCTGAATCAGACACAGAGACAGGGACGGTGTAGAGGGCTGACGGACGGAGGGGGCAGGGGGGAACGACGACTCACGACACCCACAGAGAAAGCGACGGCTGCACAAAAAGTCGTGGACAGCAGGAGAAAAATACGGCGCCCGTGTGTGTGTGCGTGTGTGCACGTGCGTGCGTGCGTTGCAGTGGTCGTCAGCGTGCTGCACCACGAACCCCGCGACCCGAGTTCGATTCCCGCTCATGGCCAACACCAGTGACGATTATCTAAACCGATCCTGGGCCTCCCCTAGGTCGACTCGGCCTCAAATGAGTACCTGGTGCGGTGTGTAAACATTGCTAATAAGAAGACAAAGGCGGCCCGGGCATGGTGCTGCCCACTCTCGGTGTGTCGTGCCTGCCTCTATAGCTGCTCGCTAACAGCACTTGCCCCAACAGTTTGTGCAAGGCTATACAGGGGATTTTGGTCTTTGTCAGCAGTAGCACAGCCGAAACGTTTCGTCTCTGTGTCGCGTTAGCACCAAGAGAAGACATTGGAAGACTGCTCCACACCAATAACTAGTGCCGCTGTAGACGGCCGTATTACAAAACTCACAAAACAACATAAAATAAGACATTTAAAAAGGAAAATTAAACGAGAAAAAAATTTATCATTCGACTCGGCACTTTTTTGTAAATGGCTTTACGCCATGCAGGGAAACATACATTTCAGTGAAAACATGCAAACAAATTTGATTCAGGTGCTCTATGGAAAGCTAAGAGAGAGGGGAAGTGGGGAAGGGCAGAGTTCTTACCGCAAACGGCATGTAGGGGGTGTTCATGGCACGTGGCCCTGATGAGGCCGGCATTCCGGGCATAGATGGGGGGAAAAGCCCCACTGCGTTCAAGTTCAGCCCTGGGATCAGGTTTCCCTGTTGCTGAAACGGCACAAAAACACAACCGTGGCGAGATAAAAAAAAAACGGCGAAGCAATTTACAAAGCCAACTCGCAACATCTCCCTGCACCAACAACAAGCGTGGGGCAGCAGCCCTCTCTCTCTCTCTTGTAGCCCTGAGCCGGTGTGGGAAATTCCACATTCCCTTGGAGGGTGCCAGTCTCCCAACTGATAACTTCCTACAAAGCAGTACCATTTTATCGTATCCAAAAAGATGATCGGTTGAGTTTACTACCGCTTTAACCCTGACCAACATTTGAAGCTAAAAAAATCTTCATATGGTGACCTGAGCACTTACAACAGGACGAAGTAATAAAAAAATGTAACACTAAAATAACAAATCTGGGTTGTGTTTTCTTGGCATCACTAAGAGCTGTAAGACGGTTCAACGTTCTCTTGAATTGTACCATCTTACTTAAAAAATAAACACTATCATGACGGTGACATGAAATATACTTATTGCCATCTGGCACACATTAAAACATTAAAGGAGTGACAATGTTCTAAAGGAAAAAAGATCACATGTGGGAGCACAGCCACATGTGGTAGAACTGTTATTGTGATAGTAAATTGATGTCGCAGCTGTAATTGCAATCATTATCACTGTCGTAAATTACAACCGGAGGGGTCCCCCACCCTGTGCGAATGTGCCGAGTTCCCATATCAGTTAGATGCCTTCACCAACCCACACTGACCAGCGTGGTGAAGTGTGGTCAAACAACAACGCTGCAACTCACGGATGATAAGCTTAAACCACGGTCACCAGCAGCTCTGCTTCCACCAGCTGTGACACTGACTGGGTAGATGATGGAGCAGAGTCAGTGGGGTACGGACAGGGCGCCTTTTGGATTTTAGATGTAGCGAAATAGGAACAACTTAGCAGGTGTGTGACAAAAGCCGGAGCGCCGAAGCTGCATAATAAAGTAAATTTAATATCAGAGATAGTAGTCCTTGCGATGAGACCCAGAAAGAGTGAGAGACAGCAACATGAGACGGCCATGAGTGAAGACAGAGACCCATCTGCCAGAGTAAAAGCGATGATACAGCCAGAGACAAGAGGTGTGTAAGAACAGATGTGGACAAGACAGGCACGGTGACTGAGGAGATGTGTTCAGTTTAAACAGAACAGAGACAAGGTGAACCTTAATTGCCTGCACACTGCTATGTGCCACGGCACGCAAGTCATTACAAGGGTGCCGTTCAGCCTTGCTGACCTCACCAGCTCCTCTTGGGTTGAGACAGCAGAGTGCAAAATGTTGCCGATGTTAAATCCTATTTTTCCCCGAATGCCTTCCTATACCCCATGATTTTTTTTTTACCGCCATTATTTTTTTCCTCCGGTTTTCATTTTTCGTCTTCAATTCCCACCCCCCCCCCCCCCCCCACAATCACTGGTTTAGACCCCGTGCTGCCTCCTAAAACCCTTTCCTGACCTCTCCACATTCCTGGCGCTCGTTCCCACTGACTTTTGGCATATGTTCCTGGACCTCAGCCTTTGGGCTCTGTTTGGTGTTGAACTTTAAGGACCTTGTCGGCATTAAACCTCGTTGGTGCCAGCCCTCCAGTGCTCGCCAGCATCGGAACTTGTTAGCATCGACCCTATGAATCCCATTGGTACTTGGGGCTTTTTCCTTGGACTCTTGTTGGTGCTAGGTCCCTGAACCTCATCAAGTTCCGGGCTCACAGGACACCGATGCCGCTGGCTCTTGTCGGTGTTGAGGTCGAGCGGTCTATCGATGCCTGGGCCAGGGTCCTGTGTTCATCCCTCTCTCACTGCCCATTTATTATGTGAAAAAAATGTCAACTGGACAGATATCAGGTGGTGGTATTAATAAATATCGATTCCTCTATTTGTAATCAATATACTTTCCCACCATTGAACATATTAGGGTTAGTTGGGCCTGGTTACTGCTAAGGAAAGGCAAATAAACGAAAACTACATTGGTTTGGACAAAGTTAAGTCCAAACAGATTGCATAACAAGTTAAACTACACGGAAAACCAAATGTGGAACCGTTTAATAGATAGGTTTGTAACGTGGCCTTAAAAAGGTTTTTACTTTAAATTACAGGGACACAGACTTATACGAGAAGATCGTTTTGCAACAAGCAAATAAGGGGGGGGGGGGGGAAAGGGGGTACACAAATATTCAGAAGGGGAACCCAAATTCCTGAATATTGGTTCCTCGTGGGAACAAATATTGGTTTCTGTGGGGGGAACAAATGTTGAAGGAGGAACGTTCCCTGGCGCCAGCAAAGCGACAGTGCATGGCGGCAATGGAGCGCCACCTGCTGCCAGCCAGCACGCCACTCCTGCCCAAAGGAAAGCCTGCACCCCTAGGCCCGTTGTTATAATCTGCAAGACGTGACACGTTGGGGGCAGCATTATACGTCGTATCGAAGGAGGGAGATAAAATAAATCACCTTTTTAAAGCTGATACACGTGAACATATTTAAAGTTGAAGGTAACCCTAGAATTGTCGAAAGTACAGTAATCCCTTGTTATTCACAGCGAGGGATAAGTTCCGGAGATGCTCGTGAAGAGCAAATTTCGCGGATAATGATATTGGCCTATGAAAACCTGTCTTTTGAATCAATAATACATGAGCTATTAAACGTATGGAAATTATCATAACACAAAAAAATTGGTTTCAATAAGTATTAGATCATATATGTCATCATGAGGCCTCCTCATACGATGTTCCACCAAAGGCGCACAGTTGAACTATGCGCCTTTTGGCATCATCTGGTCGAACACCGTATGAGACGAGGCTCAAAGGAAAGCTGTCTCTGGTGTGGACCAATCAGTTTCAAGGACAATGCACACATTATCAGAGTGTGTTTTTTGTTGTTTGCATTCTGACTGCAAGTATTGTGGTTAATGTAAACACGATTCCTTGCAAAAGGTTTCAGTTTTGTCGCCAGAAAAAAGGGGAAAAACCACATTATTATTATTATATTAGATAATAGTTTAGAAATGAACTTACCTTAAATTACGATGATGCTGTGCACCATGCATCATCGTTTTAGCTTGTCTCTTTCTCTCTATGCAGTCGTGTAGATTTCCAGATGCGGTTCGCGAATAGTCAAAATGGCAGGTAACAAGTTCTTGAATAACGAGGGAATACTAAATGTAAAGTATTCGCTTAACGCGTGGCGGTGTTCACACTACAACGCGTTTTCGCTCCAACGCGGTTCTTCCATTTGGGAACACTTTTCGCACAACGCTGAATGTGCACCGTTATAACACGGAACGCGCAACGTTATAACACGAAACGTGCACCGTTATAACACGGAACGCGCAACGTTATAACACGAAACGTGCACCGTTATAACACGGAACGCGCAACGTTATAACACGAAACGTGCACCGTTATAACACGGAACGCGCAACGTTATAACACGAAACGTGCACCGTTATAACACGGAACGCGCAACGTTATAACACGAAACGTGCACCGTTATAACACGGAACGCGCAACGTTATAACACGGAACGCGCAACGTTATAACACGAAACGTGCACCGTTATAACACGGAACGCGCAACGTTATAACACGAAACGTGCACCGTTATAACACGGAACGCGCAACGTTATAACGCGAAACGCGCACCGTTATGAAGCAGTTTCTCAGCGGTCGGCAACAAAGTACTTTCTTGAGCTGCGCGGCTGAGCGGTACAGTGATACACAGTGCACGGAATGACACAGTAACGTGGCAGCATACCCTCAGTTATTGTCCCGCCATCTCACTGTGTGCAGTAGTAGTAGTAGTACATCGCATCTGGGCAACATTTATTGTTACATTATTTATGGGGAAATCTTTTTGCCTAACGCGGCACTTTTTAGGAACGCATCTACCGCGTGAAACGAGGACTTCATGTAAACTTGGGAATCAAAAACCCTATGTGCGTTTAAATGCATTTTAAAAGCGATTATGTTACAATAACTGCAACAACAACTAAAGACAGGGTATAACAATGAGAATGCTCCCACTGTACTTGCACCCAACTTAAAGAGGTTTCTGATTGCGCAACAGCTAAATCCTCACGTTCATGGCGGCTAGGTCGTTCTCATAGGCTTCTCGGAGCCTCTTCATGATCTCCCCCTCCGCCTTGGAGGTCGCCTCGACGCTGCCCCGCACGGTGATCGTCCTCTCCGGGTTGTACAGGGTCAGGTCCTGTAAACTGAGGTCCACCAAAAATTATTAAATCACCATGCGCAACAACATCAGCAGCAGCAGCAGCGGCGGCACACACCAGAAGCCCCCAATAGAAAAGCATCTATTTCAAGATTCGCAAATTAGTAGACACTTTATCTGTCGCAAGTATTATCATCATCATCATATTTCACAATCAATTCACTGCTGGGTGAAGGTCGGGATGGAGGCAGTATAAAATATATATATGCACATGGTAATAAGCTTGCAAATCTAACTAAAAACAAGCAGTTGCCATCCACAATGCCCTGTAAAAGAAGATGCCATTGAGGGTAAACGTTTGCAGTTGAACAGGGGATTGGTGGTATTACAGTTTATGCACTGTCAAAGGCCGTGGCATCATTTAGACACCGAGTGAAAGCACACAGGTCAATTAGGGGACTTACATTACCAAGGCATGCCTGGAACCGTTATCAAACAAGCAATGGGCTGATTTGTACATATAGCGTGAAAGATGAGTGAGCATCAACATGCAGGTGAATCATTTTTAAACCTACCCAAATGCTATCTTACAGGCATTACGATCCTGTTTGTGTATTTTGTGACACTTTAACTGCTCCCATATGTCTACACATGAAGCGAGTGACTCCATTGGGTTAAGTCATGTTCTCGCGGGTTCCAATTGACACACCTGACAAAGGCACTCCAATGTAATTCATGAAAAAAACATAAGGGTTGAGTAATATGAAGCCAAATAACACTGAGATATATATAGCTATTTTTCAGAAGCGACCTGGCCACGAATGATAGCTCAACAAAGTGGCTTACGTGGAAATTGACAGCAGCCAAATACTCTAAACACATGTTCATTATGAATGTGGAGGGAAAAACGGAAGGAGCAGGAGAAAAATCCACTCGACCACGGAGACAGTGTGCAAACTCCAAATATGCAGGCGTCGGGGTCGAACCCATGACCTCCTGTATATACCAGGCAAGGTAATTAACATCTCACCACCGTAGGCACCCAAAAAGATTACTAACTGCTTATAATAAGCATCTAGCAATGCACAAAGTTTCTTCCACCAGCATAATCAGAATTTGTCGCCATGTTGAAGGGAGAAAAAATGTGGACTCAAAAATACAAAGATTTGTCCAAATTGCACGGGTATCTCTTAATCATTTCTAAACACCCAAAACACAGAAAACTATTCTTCAGCAAATCACATAAGTACATTACTGTAAAGTGGAAGACTCTTGCATGTGCATTATACTGAAGCGAACTTAAGTACCGCGCCAAAGCACAGCACACAATCACAGCATATAAAAAACATGTACAATAATTAGGTAATTATGTGTGAATGAGACTCATCCTGGTCATTGAGTTTTCACCTGGTTAAACAAAATAAACTTTAAAAACTTAAAAAGAGCCATGTTACAGACATCAGTGAAATTCAAAGATGTGCAGTTTCACAGTCAGTCCAAAGAACGCTTTAATGAGGCCAAATCAGAATGTAGAAGCGTATAAAAAAAGACGGTGGTAAAGTTGTGGCCATACAGAAGTTTTATGTGGCAAAACAAAAAGGACTAACATTTTCCCCCATGTATGGAATTTGTAATTGCTGTGTATTTAAACGAGCATTCACCTCAAAGAGAGCAAAGACAAAGGTCCCCTCTATAGCCTTAACTGATTTTTGGGGCAAGTGCTGTTAGTAGTGAGCACCTATGAAGGCAGGCACGGCACATGAGGGGGGTGGGTGGGCAGCACCATGCCCGGCCGCTTTTGTCTCCCCAGTGGAGATGTTTTACACATCACCCACGTACTCATTTGAAGCCGAGTTGAACTAGGCTAAGGCCCGGGACCGGTGCAAGATAATCATCGCTGGTGTTGGTGTGGCTTTGAGCAGGAATCAAACCCGGGTCACCGGGTTGGTAGCATGGTGCGCTAACCGCTGTACTACCGCTTAATGAGAGGACATCCGGCAGCAGAGGCGTGTTTGTGATGGATGCACACTCACGGGGAGATGGTAATTTTCGTCTCCGTGTCCTGCTCAATCTTCTTGAGATTACGACCTTCCTTGCCGATCAGGCGTCCTACAAAGTTGTTGTGGGCCAGGATTTTCAGAGGAACATCCTCACCTCTGCAGGAAGACAACGCAGTGGTAAAAGGGGGACGCGGAAGATAATACCATTGACAGCCTTTAAGTTTAACTGCAAAGTAAAAAAAAATTGTTGCCACGGATTTTACCCTCGAAAATTCTGGCACCGAAGTACTACCACTTATTGCTTCATAGGTTTACTCAATTGTCTTCACTAATTTTAAGAAAAAAATACATTTGTTTTCAAACACATACATTAGAATTTATGATGACATGAAACTTGTTATGGTAACATCTGCTATAAAAGTATATATAATTAATGAGCAACACATTTACTTTCAAGGAAAGAGTAAGATTCAGCAATGCATACACACATCCATCTGATACATATCTGATGTGGTATTCATTTGAGCTTCGGCATTATTTCAGTCGCAATTTATTTTAATCTGCTTGTAAAATTTCAGTTATTATGTTTACAATTGCTACGTGACCCCCCCCCCCCGCACATTCCCCACAGTTTAATAATCACTTGTAGGGAAAGCAATTTCCCCAGTATTAATGAAATGATGTGAACTGCCAACTTATGGATTAAGAAGAAAGACAAAAAGGGCAATCCTGGGCAGGAAATGATATCCGTTTGTATTGTGAGGAAACTACACGGAGGGAAAATAACACCATTTAAACAAGGTAAATTATCGAGTTTTGCTTTTTACGTCAGGCCGCAGACATGTCCATCACTCTTTGCACGTTTCCGTCACAACGGAAACACATGGGCTACATTTTCCAAGTGAATTAACGATAAAAAGTGGAGTAAAAAAACCGCTTGAACCTGGACACGGTGAAGTCAGAAATTTAGCCATGTTGGAAAGGCTCCCCTCAGATACAACAAAAATACTGGAAAAAACAACGCTGGTAATACACTGCTCACGGGATATCCAAGCAGTGCGTGGAAGAATACGGTATTCTGCACAAATTTACGCGACCTATACCAAAAACCTTCATTATTAATAATATGGGTCGCGAGAGCCTACGTGTTAAACTGATTCTGTGGTCATTCATTTTTCTTAAATAAACGTACGATGGGGAAATGCATGCATTCATTTAGATAGAACACGTAAGACCAACAAGCAAGAGCAACACCATCCCGACCTCGTGGTAGGCCAATATTTTTGAAAAATGCTTAAGAAACCGTAAAAGGTAAATTAACCGGAATGGAACAATGTGAGTAGTTTGTATCTTTTAAAGGGAAAAGCAACCCACAGTTCTTATTTTGGAGATAAGTAACCATGCTGCGTATCCTGTGGGGCGAGGGTATTGCTTCAACTTCCTCAGAACCGTAACAAACTCTCCGGTGACATCGCGTTGGTGTGATTTCAGTCATTTTTACTGACGTACACTCTGTCATGTCACACCACTAGAGCTCGCTCCACACATTAAATTTAAATTCGCATCTCACGCAAAAAGTTACAAATTTGAACCTGAAAAGCCCAGGGCACAGCCTGGGCAATGCAAAAATGCTTCTACATATTCAAGTGATTTGTTATTTGGGTTGTGCCTTGGAGGGCATAGACAATGTTTATATGTCTATATATACATTGATTTAAAGCTTTCGTGACTGCAGGAATTCATACTCTTTGGGTCTTTCGGTAAAGTCACGTAGATAGAAAAATATAAGATCCCGACGTTTCGATCGCAACACAGGTGAGAGAGAGAAAGCTTACTATTTGGTTCTTTCGGTAAAGTCGTGACTTTACCGAAAGAACCAAAGAGTATGGATTCCTGCAGTCAAGAAAGCTTCAAATCAAGAGAGAGAAAGCTATTGAAATAAGGTCTTCTATAGGCCTGAGATGGGAATCCCCTGAGGGTAAGAGGGCGGGGCTAGAGATGGTCTCCCTGAGGCTGTGGAAGTGGCCATTGTATTGTGAGAGATTAGCATGTCAATGCTGCATCGGTGGCAGATCGAGAAGGACATTCCAGCCTGTCAATACAAAGACATCCTACCTAGTAATGCAACTCAGTCAGCTAACATCGGCAGGAAGGATGGAAACATCACAGCAGGTTAAGACTTTACCTGGTTAATCACGTCCTTCCAATGATTGCTCAATTTGTACTCATCTTCTAGGTTGAAGTTGTGTCTGCGTTTATATATCTAGATGGATTCATGAACAAATCTTTGATGATAGCCAGTGGGTTTGTAGAGTACCTTCGTCTTGGAAAAATCTATTTAATGTGAGCCCACAGCGTTGAAACAATGATCCGCCACGGCCGAGGTATTGGTCCTACCGTGTTTCAGATCTGCCTTGTGTTCACGAACACGGTCCGAGACATGTCCTTTAGTTTCCCCAATGTAACTACTGCCGCAGACACAGCTTAGTTTGTAGACACCGGGGTATTGCATGTCAGGAATCACATCCTTCACAGATGAGATCAGATCACGAATTATATGTACAGTGTTGAATCGAACCTGGAGTTAATTCCGCCCACACAGCTTAAAAGACGCGGCCCATGCTTGGCAATGTTCACTCAAGCGCTGTCTTCTGGACAGTCCTGTTTATTCACCTGAAGAAGGCTACTTGTGTTGTGGCCGAAACGTCGTGAGAATCTTATTTTATTATGTTTTTTTAAATTATTTTCTTTCCATTCTACGTGACTTTACCGAAAGAACCAAGAAGATGAATCCCTGCAGTCACGAAAGCTTTAAATCGAAAAAAACATCCCCAATTGCTTGTGAAATAATTCAGGGTAAGAAAAGGTCACAATATATATTTTGTTTTTTCCCCAATTCGCGTGTAAATGAGACATCCTGGAGTTGAGCAGTACTTTAACAAAATATCAGAAAAATAACAAAGATTTCTCAGACAATAATCGTAGACATGGAGATTTTTTTTTCAATTTAACGAGTAAAATCACTGTAATCTAGTTTTGTTCAGCACGAGTTTTATGGGCTTAGATGAATCACATCTCACTGGTCAACCAATCCAAATGCAGCTACTATCTCGCAAAAGAGCGATTCAGAGCGGGCGTTGACTGCGGCGAGGAAAACTCGTGCCGAAAGAGCAGCCGACGACAAATCTGTCCCCTCTGTTGGGCGCCGGCTGTGAGCGGCGGACTCACGACTTTGTGTCCTGCGCCTCCTTCAACATGATCTCCATGATCATCTTGCACGCGGCCGTGCAGCCATCCGGAGCCGATTGGATGGTGATGGGCTTCTCTGCCGAGCCGGCGTTCTCCTTGCGGTGAACGTCCACCCTGGGGGTACGGTGGGGGGAGGGGTGGACAATCAACTTCATTTCTCACACATCAGGACTCTTTAACCTATATTTTGCTGGCGGACCACAAAGAAATTCGCGCGTGTGCTGGCAGGCCGCATGGCGTCGTACGTCACGTAATACTGACGATGTGAAGGATGTCACGTGCCCCTGGCCGTGCTCGCCAGAATGGCGAAGTATGGTCAAACAACTCGCATGACCGAGATGGTATGGGGGAGCCCTTATTCCGCCAGGGGATTGTGAAGGGCCTCTAAATTTTTTTCTAATTATTCTGAGCAGGGCTTATAAAGTGTGGGTACTTCCACCTCTTCCATTGCTCTCTAGAGCTACCTCTAGTGGAGGTCCCTCCATCGGCATGCATGACTGCAACCACCCTCCTTAACAATGGCAACCGTTGCTACTGGGAGATAACAATAATGACAAACTTAGACATCGCGTTTCCGTTCTTTAATCTTGGGTTCTGTTTTCTTAAATTATTCCTCGCGATCGTTACCCCTACCGCGGGAAGGGCAGCGCGCGCCGAGGCCCTCGTTCGTACGTTCCCTAATTTTGAGGGTGCATTACGCCCAAAGCTTGTTACACGTCATCTCCTGCTGTATCCTGGGGTTCTTTAATGTCGATTAAAAAAAAAACGCTCACGAAAAAAAATTGTAGGCCTGCACCTTTACCCTTTACCACCGATCGCAAGCGCACAACTCCGCGCAACTCCACGCGACACGCCACTCCTGCTCCCCTGCCGCGGGTTTGGGGGTGCGGGGCACCAGGGCCTTGCAAGGAGGCTCACGCACTCACTTGGACTGAGTCTGCTGGGTGATGGAGCGGATGGTTGCGCCCTCCTTGCCGATGATGGCTCCCACAAACTGGCTGGGCACGAGGATGCGCAGCGGGATGTCGGCCTGCTGGCGCCCGCGTCCGGAGGGGCCGCCGCCACCGCCCGCGGCTCCCTGCCCCGAGCAGCCAGACTGGCTGCCCCGGCGGCGGCCGGACTGCTGGGGGCCGCTCGGCTGCGCCGGGGCCGTCTCGTCGGGGATGTAGGACACCTTGAGGGCGTGGTTCTCCAGTTCGTGGCCGTTCAGCTTCTCCAGGGCTCTGCAAACCAACAGGCGGGATGGTGCTTTAACGCCGCGCACGAGCATTCACCGTCACTCAAATGACTCTTAACTCTTTTAATTTTACCAGGAAAGGACCACTGAGCCGTGTAGCTCTTTTTTCAGAAGCGACCTGACCACAAATGATAGCTCAACCAAGTGGCTTAGCACGTGGAAATTTATAGTAGCCAAATAAACTAACGTTTCGAGCGAAAAACCGGAGGACCCGGAGAAAAATCCACGCGACTAAGGGGAGAACATTACATTCCAAATAAAAAAAATATATAGGTGTCAGGGTCCAGATCGCACCTACGACCTCCTGTACATCTTGCCACCGTTATATTAACATAATAAAAAAAGTCATCACCGCTCAATCCATCTCCATCTTTAATTTAACTTCTCATCTGATTTTGACTACACTCTCAAGCTTCCCTCCACACTTCCTCCCCACCCAACCCTCAGATCTTCCGCTATGCATAAGTTTCACAACTCTAGAGCATGTAGAGATGTGGTCGCATTTAGATTACATATATATTGAACCAATAAATAATTGTGTTACGTTGTATTCACGCAAAGGGGTGAAGTTTTTATATTTGGCCAGGTCTCTATCCTCAAATGTGTTGGTTTTCTCTGAGTATCCTGGTTTCCTCCCACGAGTAAAATATGACTCAGGAATGAGACAGGCTCAATAAAAGAGATGCCCTCAGCGAACATGCCCTCATCACATCCGAGCTGTGAGACCAACGCTTCTGGCACAAACTGCCAAATCCACTGCTCCGTTGCAAAGTACGGCTAACATGTATACGTACGTTGGCCTTCTTTTGCACCGTACGTAGCCAACCGTGCGCTAACCGGAGGCGCGGGGGAAGGACAACAAACTAAAACACAAGAAGCGTTGGCGTGAAACTGCCCTCAATACTCTCACCGCTTTATCTGCAAATGCGGCATGCCCTTACATGCGAGATGCCAGGCTACTGCTGTCTGCTCCTGAAGATGCCGTAAATACCTAAACTATTGCAGGGGAGGCTTCCTGGGGTCCCCAAGGTCTGCGATTAAATTGGCCATTTTTGGTTTCTAATTGTAACTTCTCATATAATCTCATTTAACACCCAAAGCAAAGACTCCACCACCGTCATAATGATCTTAATTTTAATTCACAAGGTGAACGTCACAATACTGGTTTAAATGCACAATGATTAAAACCAATTTAAACTATGCATGTGCTCTGAACTGGTAACGTACTAATAAAAAATACTATATCGTTATTAAATAACTTGGGGATTTACAGGACAAATAATTTATTGACAAAGAAAAAAAGCATTGATATATATGCATGGGGTTCTGTAATGGTTTCCAACATGTCTTTTGTGCTCAGAAGTACATAAAATGCACATTAACCTGATATAACCATATACATGGACGTTAACAAACAACAAGGACAATGTGTAAATAAGAAAGGAGGGGTACACCACGTGTAATACTATGGCAGAGACAGAAAGGGGAACATGTTTATTAAAGATCATAATGCAAGTTATAGAAATAATCTTGCTCTCTATATGCAGCAGGGGATAGAGTATGATGATGATGATGAACACGCTGCGAGATACATGACAGAAATAAGAACACGTGTGTAGTGACATCGCGGGATGTCACTGTGTAGTAGCGGCCCTAGAGGGGCACGGCGTGCGGTGTAACGACATCGCGGACACCACAGTGGTGTGGGTGTAGTACAGGCCATAGAGACCCACGGCGTGCGGTGTAACGACATCACGGTCACCACAGTGGTGTGGGTGTAGTACCGGCCCTAGAGGGGCCCAGTGAGCGCTGATTGACAGCGCTGGATGGCACCACGCTTGGCGTGCAGTGCCAGCCCTACAGGACAGGTTGTGTGAGTGCTGGCCGTAGGAATGAGGTAACTAAAGGCCATGGCACTCTGGTTGACCCGAGAGGACACGTGACCCAGTTGTTAAGTCTACAAAGGGGTCCCATAGTGGGGGCTAGGGGTGGTCACGTGGTTGGGGTCCAGATCCTTCCCGAGGATTCTGGAAGGTGGGCGTGGCCACGGGCGGAGCCGGCCAAGCCGCAGATAATATAAGCCAGGTCCCGAGAGGGACCGGCGTTGTTGTTCATCCTGAAGAAACCTTCGTCAACGTTCTACGTTCTCCGAGTCTCCAACACGTGGACCTGGCCCCGAGCTGTGGTCCCGGCCCGTAGTAGCAGTTATGTTGTAATCAGTGTAGTTAGCCTGGTGGTCACCACCTGGCTAACTACACAAGTTATGTTGTAACTAGTGTAGTTAGCCTGGTGGTCACCACCATAGGTTGTCATTCTGTTAAGGGGCAGTTACCCCGTGTGTTGGAGTTAAATAAATCTGTTGCCTCCAAGTATACGTCTGCGACTCGGTTGAACTCACTACACATGGACCACATGCACGTTGGAGACACTATTTTGATTTTCATTAAGCAGTGTATAGCGCAGAATGACATTGATAATCAGAATCTTTATTTAGGCTGGAGGAATTCCGATCAGCTATGAAGCTCTTTTTCAAAGATGTCAAGGATGGGACGGGGCAGCGAGTTGCGTCAACAATAAAAACAAAAATACAAAAAAGCAATCCAAGAGCAATGAATAGAAAAGTGAAGTAAGTCACTTCAACTACTTCTCCCATGCTTTAGAGTTGAACTGCATAACTGGATTACGATTTAAAAAGAGTCATTTTGTTACAAAAAAGCAACGTTATTTAGTTATCTTACGATGTGCATCGGTGAAAAAAACTCCAAGATGAATCATCTTACAGAAATTACAGAATAAACAGAACACTCATTTCCTTGGAATGTTTGGCAAATGCCAATTATATTATATGTCTTTAGCTTTGGAAAGAAACTTGAGAATCCGAAGGAAACCACTGCAGAACAGGGCGAGAGAACATACAAACTCCACGTAGACAGGCACTTGAATCAGGAATCGAATTCAGGCCCTTCTTGCTGTGAGGCACGAGTTACCACTGTTTCACCCTGGTAATCACACTTTACAGGGTGGACGCAGTTCATATTCCCCCATTAAACTGATACTCTCCATTGTATTTATAATGCTTGCAAATAGCCACTGCTGGATCATCATGGAAAATAACCATGTAGAGCCCTCGATAGAGAGCATTGTTCAACTCGCATTGCAAGCATTTATTTGTAAGTGCTAAATGCTAAATGAGTCATCTGTGGTGCACACACGAGGTTTCATGGAGGTGGCTCTATATAAGAGCTTCAGACTTACTGTTTGGCTTGGTCCTTGCTGGCAAAGGTGACATTTACAACGGCCGTCTCGCTGTCTGTCGTCACTGGGAAATCACAAACATAGACACCTATTTAGAAAAAAAAAGTTTTACACATTTACAATACAGGTTGTAACAGATGAGCATTCATTTTAATAACATGAGATATTCAGCTGGATGGTACTGTTGAAGGAATACTGAACGCAAAATGGAAATATTGTGCGTTCAAACCTCAGTCGGAGTTGATTCAGCCCACCGTCCTTTGGGGTCAATCAAGTATTGCTTCGTTGAAGTTCAGCAGTAGGTGTCATTGATAAATTGGCACTGCTAGAGAAATGTAAAATTTTCACCGCTGGTTCAGGATAACCAATGGACATTAGGGCCAACGAAATGCTTGTGCCAACTCAGCGGTGGCGAGATGTTAACTACCTTGTCTGGTATACAAGAGGTGGTAGGTTCAATCCAGACCCTGACACCTGCATTTTGGAGTTGGCATGTTCTCACCGTAGTCATGCGGATCTTTCTCCAGGTTCTCCAGTATTTCCCTCCACATTTATAATCAGCATGCGTTTAGAGTATTTGGCTGCTACAAATTTCCATGTGATAAGCCACTTGCTGAGCTATCATTTGTGGCCAGGTTGCTTCTGAAAAAGTAGCTAACAGCTCAGCGGTCTTTACTTGTTAAAATCAAATAGTTCAGTTTTATTTGTATATATTTTTTGTAATTTTCTTATATTTTGCACGCCTATCGTGTTTTTGTATTGTTTATTCTTGTAAAGTTCTAATCTGCCTCGACTGGACATCTGTGAAAAAAAGCTTCATAGCTCGTCAGATTCCTCCAGTATAAATACAGATTCTGATTCAGTTACCTCCCAGCATATGCCAAAATTAGTCCGCTGCCCTATTGTTGTGAAGTGACTCATGCAGCCAGCTATGACTCGAGGGTTTGGTGTTACATGTTCTTTATGTAGTTTATTGTTAAAAATTCGGTCACAGTCCCTGTGATCACTGTTACATTGCATTTATGGCTTTATTTTGGTGATTTCAAAAAGTGTTTTGGTTTGGCCATGTTTTTGTTTGTTGTAGTACGGAGTTAGACTGATGGCCTTAATCAAGTTGTCTTGTGGTTGTTGTTTGACTTGCATCCCACTGGGATTTTTGCACACAGCGTTGGTGTACGGTGCTTTTTCAGGAATATTTTGATGTTTTTTCCTGGATTTTCTGTTTGCACAGTCACGTAGTCATTTTAAGACGTTTTCTTGTTCATGTTTTTGTTTGTTGCGGTTGCACCCGATTCAAGAGCCGAATGGCTCACAGGGCTATACCAAATAAATGGAACTGAACTATAAATGGCTGCGGTCATGTGCTTTTGGAAAAGCCCTGTTGAGGGACCTGTCCATGGCAGACTGCATCACCACTGCTGGGTCGAACAAAAAATAGTTTTTGTGCGGCAACACTCGCAAAGCCATCAGCAAATTCACCAAGAGGACGGACCTGAATGTGGTCCTGTAATCCTGAGTAATTGTGTCACGTCTATCCGTGAACTTTGGGACCTTAAGCTCCGGTACAAAGTCACCTATGGCAGTGGTTCTCAACCGAGGGTAACCGGACCCCTGGGGGTACTTGGCAATGTCCCAGCGGGGTACGCGAGGTGATTTCTAAATGTGTGAAATTCTATTGTACAAGAGAGTCGTTGGTGAATAATCAGGAATTAATCTGCCATAACTACGATACAATTTAAATCTACATGGTAACCGAGAACTATATTAAATACGTTTATAAATTCACTGATCGTAAACTATGTGGTTTCCAAGAGTAACCAGTAAGCGCGAACAAATGACGTCACACATGCAGGGCGTCCGTTGCATTATTGTCATGCGCTTACAGTAACAAGCTAGTTAGTAGGGTACCTCACAAAATGGACAATTGGTTAAAATCTTGATGTGCATTATTCATACATTTATTTTTCAGAACCATGTTGGGTCAGGCAAGGGGTACTCGGTTGAAACAAAACTCAACAAGGGGTACCAGTACCCAAAACAGGTTGAGAACCACTTACCTATGGCGACCTCTGCAGGATTCCTGTGATACCTATGGGTCACTCAAAGTGGGGTCTCCTCTGCCAGGTCCTCACTCTTACAATTGCCCTGACACAAAATTCCCTTCGAATTGGGAGCCATGACCCTTCTCAGCTGCTGCGGGTTTGGGTGGCCGGTGTGGGTACCTGAGACTCAGCCAGGTGAGCGCCTTGCTACAGCAGTGCCGAAAAGCAAGCAATTGCAGGGTTGCGCCAATACCATTTAACCGAGAAGAGGGAAGATTGTACCAGGCGATGATGTAGGCAGCCAATGAGTCTAAACGCACGATTCGAAATGTGGAGGGAAAAACCGGAGGACCCGGAGAAAAATCCACGCGACCCACGGGGAGAGAGACACGCAAACTCCAAATATGCAGCAGGCGTCGGGGTCGGGACCGAACTCAAGACCTCCTTGCATACCAGGCGAGGTATTTACCATCTCGCCACCGTGGCGCCGATCCTAATCTATCCACAGACAACTACATTCATGGGCTTGAGTGAGAAGCTGAAATAAACAGCAGGTTACCTTGATCGCAGCTTTCGACGGTGCCGTATTGCGCCAACAAACCATCCAGGACCTGGGGGAATAACAACGGCCTTCACAAGCTGGCGTACCACACTGCACTAGAGGGCATAGCAAAAAAACAAAACCTACCAGGCTCATTAATCAGTGGGACTATTTATGAAGGGGTTGCAAGTCAAATGCATCTCATTATCTGCGTTGATCTACAAGATAAGGTTATTTTTACGCGCAAGATGAGAAATGCTCCGAGTGGAGAAGTTTTCTTATTGGGAAACACAATTGCTGCACCTCCGATTAGCGCGGTTGGCAACGTTCGGTTCGAAAAAAGTTCAACATACAAACCTTCATCAATATAAGTGAGAGTTTCACTGTATTCCACCGCTATGCGTACAGGTAAAAATGCGAAAACCGCGCCACCGAATACATTCCCAATTGCCTTTTAAAATTATTTAATTATTCACGACAAGAAAACGTCACAATATAAATAAATAAAACGTTATGAGTTTTTTCCCCCACAATTGACTTGTAAATGAGACATGCCTGAGTCGTATCAGAAAATGACAAAACTATTCTAAGAAAATAATTGTAGATATGTGGAGATTTTTTGATTTAATCAAATGAGTAAAATTACTGTAATCTTGTTTCAGTGTCAAACATGACACCAGTACATTCAATATTAGGAAAAACGGACATTTTCACACATTATGGAGTCAGCATTCTCATCAATGACGATATGTAAACCTAAACCACAGTTTATTGAGTAAAATCTGCTTTGAAATAAAAAAAAAATACCAAGCAAGCCAATTATTATTTCACTTCGTTTCATAAAAGTGAACATTGCACATTCCCTGTCCCTAATCAATTTGTGAAAACTGCCTCCACTAAACAGATTCTTCGTTTTCCACGGATGCGAGTCGCCTTACACCACATTGGTTTGAGGTAGGTAAGTCTCCCCCCCCAGCCCCCCTCCCCCCATCTCCAACCAATAACAATTCAGCATAGCCGTGTTGAGTATGCATTGTAAATACTACCCATTTATATGTTACACGTTATGCACTGTATATACACGATATAACGTGTTCTAAAACGCATATGAATGTACATTATATAATATATAACAGTCTAAATATCTATTTACATACATTATGATGTAAAATTAATGTAAAAATCTCATTTAAGAAATGTTACATTTATTCAATTGCTCAACCCGATTGGGTAAAGTGTGAATTCCAGTAATACACTAAAGCCACGTTGTTATTTTACCAGCTAAGGCCCACCGAGCTACGTAGCTCTTTTTCAGAAGCGACGTGGCCCCACGAATGATAGCTCAAGGAAGTGGCTCATTACGTGGGCATTTAAAGCAGCCAAACACTCTTGAACCAAGTAGCCTGGGTTGGGATAGCGGTGGGGGAGGGGCTTATAATGCTTGCTCATCGCTACACACCTGCATGCAGCACGAGCAAGCACCACCCGGTTATATACTCCAAGGCTCTTAGAAGCAAATGGGTAACAATGTTTGGCTTTTAACGTGTTGGCCTTGAATGTACTCGGGCCGAGGGACTCACCTCCCACTGCAGCTGAGGAGGTATATTCCTGACTTGGATTTTCCGGTTCCTGCCGACGTAACATTCCACCAGTGTGAGACGTTTGCTAAACTTACAATTAACGTCGTAAACACAACTGGCACAAACCAAATAAACAAACAAAAAATGCGGCAAAACAGCAGTGAACAATGCAGATTGGGTCATAAAAATTCCTGTTCCATGACATAGATCAGGAGAGAAAAAAAATCAACATGACAAATTGCAGCTTTATAGCGTGTATACAGTTGTGCACAATTATAATTAGAAACATGCATTTAGATTATTTCGCTGCTATACATTTCCACATGAGCTACTTTTTTGAGCCATCATGTGTGTGATCAGGTCGCTTCTGAAAAATAAGCTAATAAGCTCAGCGGGCTTTACCAGGGAAGATAAAAACAAACGTTTATTTGTATATATATGTTTTCAAATAATTTGTTTACCTTTCCTATACTTTGCAATCCTGTCGTGTTTTTGTATTGTTTGTTATTGTAAAGTTCTGACCTGCCCCTACTGGACATCTGTGAAAAATAGCTTCATAGCTCATCGTATTCCTCGAGTATGAATAAATGTTCTCATTTTGATTTTCCAACTTGCAGCATCATTGACAAACTACCAATACAAATGTAGCAGTAACACACACGGGGAAGCCTCACCGAGCCAAGACTTTTCAGGAAGTTCCTAGATAGGGATGTTTGGCCACACTGCTGTATCCAGAGCAAACCCACCATGCAGAGACATGGGGAGCGAGTTGAACACGTACGCTTTCGCGACCATTAGTATCCATAACAAAGGTCTTTTGGGGGGTTGGATGGGAGTAAATATAAATGTATGGTTAAACCTACCACCAGCCAACATAGCCAATTCGTAAGGTTTGTCACGTGAACAAAACATGCCAATTAGTGACTACGAGAGCACACCAGTGTGCTCGAGAGTAAACCCACAACGTTTACAATTCGAGTACGACGTTTTTGCCGGTGATTACAACCACCTTCATCAGGCGATTAGCCAGGACTCAACAGTGCCATCTACTGTTGGTCATCCCGTCGCCCCATGCCTGCAACATTGCGCAAAGCAACCCCGGTCATCACCCATTAAAATTCTGACCAAGCGCAACTCTGCTTAAGCTTATGAGATCTGACGCAATCGGGGCCGCATTCCAGATTTTTCTGATTGTAGGCAATAATGACACGAGGCAAGTGAAAAGTGGCTGGCTGTTTGGTGGTTTAGACAACTAAGCCAGCACCACTGGAATTCGAAGCACGAACGCTTATAGCCCAGTTGACTGAACTGAGATAATCGGGATAAGCCCAGTTGAGGGCTAATATGCAATATGGTATGTTGTATACATGTTATACGATTAATACAAAGTACGCCACTATCTTCACAACACAGAAGGCCATCATAGTGGTTGCTGTTAAAAGGAGCTCGTTTGTGCACAACACAGAAATAGCTCTGGTGTCTTGTCCTGGGTCGTCCCGTATGAGACACGGAGCCATTGACACCTCAGATTCTCCAGATAGGACTCTCGTTCACTTTGTTCCATGAAGGCACAAGCACAATTGTGATCACATTTGATAACGGAACGATTGAATACTAAAAGCATAAACATGCAGTGGGCAAGGATAGGCATTTTAAATGTCTAAAGTCAATTGGGAATCGAGTTTGCAAAGGCACAAACTTTCATAAGCGTTCGTTTTGCTAGGCTGCAAATCATGCATGCAGCATAATACAACACTTGTGATGCATTTAAGAATGTTACCGAGCAGACTTGTCCAATAACAGTGGTAAAGAATTAAGTGTAATTATTGTATTTAAATGTGTCCTTACATAACCTGATTCATAATCACATTCATTCATAATTCTCATCCAGTCTCAATGAATCCTAACTATTCTTTTTAATGCATATGAATCGATTTTGGGATACATTAGAAATAAATAATTTGAGCCTCGTGCCATGCACGGTAATAAAAAGGAATCGTTTTGGATGGAATAGGAAAACAATTAATCAGTACTGTACGATGAACTGTGGTGCAACGATATATGAAATCTAAGTTATGGGACAGCTTTTAAAGTGCACGGCAAGCCTCTTCATAATGGCGTCACGGAGAATTCAGGGAACATGTTACAACAAAAAATACCACTTCCAGGTCACAGGTCACCTATTTTTTTACATTATTATTTTTCTCCAAGTAACGAGGAACTGTACTGGCCACGTACAATGGTGTGAAGAGGGGGGGGAGAACTAGCTCAGTATTCTGCACTACAAGATAGCATTTTGTTTGATTTTTGCACTCACCATCGAAGCAACCAATATGCCTTTCAAATGCAAATGCATTAAGCCCTGCTTTACTGCATTATGCATAGAGAGGTTGCATCAAATGCGCACACATGCCAGGGGCAGCCATTGGCTGCACGGGCACTGCATATAGGGCACATGGGGTTCAGCTCGTAGATGGGCGTGCTATTCAATGAGACACATTTTCTAGAATGCATACATCAGGGTCACGCCGTGTCGACCAGTTTTGGGAAAGGCTGTCGGACGAGAACAGGTTTCCTGTACGGTCCCGACCTCGTAAAACTGCAAGCGTGCGAGTTGTTAACGTGTGTTCTTCACGCACGATGCAATTGTCATTGGTCTCAGAGCCGCAATAAAGGTATTCATTGATAATATTTTTAAAAAAACGCAGTAATCGGCAACAATGAAGCTCTACAAATGTGAAATTGTTTCCGATTGGTAGAAGTCAGTTTTGAGAGTGCTTGCAATTTCATCACATTTTAAAAGCTCATCTTCACATCATGGTTGGGAAAATAATAACAACATTTGGTCACAAACCAATTTGTAAATTAAACAATATATACATCGCAGTTGTAAAGAAGTTACATTGATGTAATTTTATTACATTACATTGGGGACTCTCTTTCAATTAATTTTTGGCTTGTGACATTGCCCTTTGTGAATTATGGCATACAATTGGGCTAAAGTGCAGTGAAAAAAACCCGGAGGGATGGACTACGGGCAACCCGGGAATTTGTGCTTCGACAGACTGAGTCCAATAATTATTCATTTTCAATCAGATCAGATGAGCCAAGGGTAATCAAAGTACTGTTTCAATGAACATATATTTTCATGCCAAACAAAATATATCTGTCTCGATATGTATTTCTCTATTGTCTTCTTTTTATTGTTTAAGCTTGTTAAAAAATAGTATCTCTAAATTCGAGACACTGCAAGTGGAGGTTAAGGGGTTTTGATTCCCACCTTTGGGATTTTATTATCACTATCATTGTGATGTGTGCTTAGCCAGGGAAAAAGCCTCACTGGGCTTACAATAGAGGAAAAATACTGCTGTGAGATGGAGATCATGACTAAAATGGACAGATTTATTCTGATATATTCTGTGCTGGATGAAAGTAAAATGTAAATAGCATTAGAATCTGTCACTCAATAGAAAAACATCATATTTTTTCTGAAACCGAGTGGCAGGTATTTTAGATTTTTGAAGCACAGTAAAAAATGTTTGGTCAGTCTTAATAAACAGCAAGTGCTTAGATTAATAATAATTTCAATTAAGGAGATCATGATCATTTGAAATAAAGTCTAACACCTATTGCTGTAATTATAACTGCCCAGTGAAATCAGTTTGTGTGCACCAGACTAAGTGGATTACTACAATCAAGGACGACCAGGAGACATCGCAAGGGCTTGTGGGGGGAGGCCTTCGTCCAGCAGTGGATCAAACATGGCTCACGATGATAATTATTTTCCACGACTATTTAAAGGTGTGATTCACACATGCTCAGCATGGATGAGATAGCCTGAGAATGTCAACGTGAGCTGTAAAAATAAATTACATGAGCCAATGGGATATTATTGTGTCTTGACGAATATGCAATGTGCATTCGCCACTGTATATATCAAGCATCCGTGCTACGTAAACACCACTCAAGGCAAAGAATGTGAATCACCACATATTTTGCAGGAATTTCCTACTTCCAAACAGAATCGAATTAATTTAAACTGGTGAATGCAATATTATCGTATAATCACATCAATAATGCCACAAAACACTGAAAACATCTCACCACCCTCAAGATTAACGCCCCCTTAAAAAAACACTTCAGGCCATGACCACAAGGTAGCTTGCTAAATATGTTTTAAAATTATAAGGCAGTTGTAATTCAAACTGGTGATGAGGCCATTACATTGTATCCGTGCATACAGTGAACTGTGGTTTTAAATAAAAGCTGTGATGATGCATCATGACAGACAAATATATATGATTTTCCCTATGTTTCTTTGCAGATGAGTTGCAATCGATGACAATTCTAAACAAAAGCCCAGAGGGAAAAAATAAATAAAAACCATCATTCTAAAATGAGGCGCTTTTGACTGGTTCCACAGAAGTCGCTCAGCCCGCCAGCCCAGGTGCTATGAGCCGCATGCAGGGCAAACAAAAACGCAAGTTTGATGGCTTCGAACGCTATGCGCCGAACACTTTCACCGGTGGCACAACCTCAGCCTGGTTTGCACGGTGGTTCGGCGAGTTCGCCAGACAGTCGGCAACGGAGCTCGCAACCGACGCGACGCAAACAACATTTCCAGCCTGCTGCTTGCGACGGGGCAGCGGCAGCGCTTTTGCGCTGCGTGGAATTTCTTGGAAAGACGACAACTAAACAGACTGCCCCTCTTCTCGCGCGCTCACTGGCTAGTGTTCTCATTCTCCCCGTTGTTCTCCCAATACCGCAGGCCTTCGTAAACACAAACTCCAATTTCACCGGGTAACACCGTCGCGGCTGGTGCCGTTTTCACCACGTGCGCACCACACACGCACACGCGCGTAGTGTAGCGGTTAACGTGCCGCGCTACAAACCCGGTGACCCCGAGTTCGATTCCTGCTCACGGCCAACTCTTGTGACGATTATCTGAACCGGTTTTCGGCCTAGATCGACTCAGCCTCAAATGAGTACCTGATGCAGTGTGTAAAAATTGCAAACTAGGGAGACAAAGGCGGCCGGGCGTGGTGCTGG